TGTTTAGGATGACCACTGATATGTAACCTGGATCTAATCAGATAACTAGGTGTGGCCATGAAAAGGTGGGGAGTGAGGGACTGGCATGTACAAATCATTGGATTGATGAAAATGTTGGTACTTTCAGAGAATCGGAATTTATTGCCATCAGGAATAGGAGAAAGAAGCAGTTGATACTCTAATAACTCCAAGTAGGGCTCAGACCAAAGAAGGTTTTGCAAAAGGTCTGTCTAGTTTCAATTTAAAGTGGAGTTAGTTTGAAAAGAATCCCAGAATAGAACAAAAGGAATCTTTGAAGTTAGTAGACAGTTGTGTCTCTTCTTAATTTTCTTCATTGATTATCTTCCAGCACATTGGCTTTTGTTACTAGGCACTGAGGAAATATCTTCTACTAGATCCTCTATGGGACTCTTTTAGATATGAGGGATCTGCATTATTATAATAGTGGTTCCCAGGTTCCCAGGATTGTACATTCTTAGTTATCTTATCCTTAAAAGATCCCCCTCCCCACACACCCCTAACACACATTTTGTTTCAGGTATTTTTCTAAGCTGTTATCACAAATTAACTCATTTATAAGTAAGTGGTTTATGTAGGAGGGTATTATTGTTACCCATATTTTGCAGGTGATATACACAATGCATTGTAAGTAAGTGGTAGACCCACAATTTAAACCAAGGCAGCCAGCTTTAGAAGCAAGGTCTAATTTGAAGTCCAGCAAGTATAACTCTCTTAATGGCTAAGACGTCTGTCCAGCATTCTGTGTGTTGTAGGATAAAATCAAATAAGAGACAGCCTTTCAGTTATTTAGTAACTGGATACCTTGCTCTGTGCCAGGGCTATGCTTGTAGATGGGTATAAGTATTCTAGGGAATTTGCAAGGTAAGTGAATAAAAAGATAAATGATGAATACAGTATTTTTGAGTTGCTTAAGGAAAATAGGAAGGGGCTAATTAAATTATAGTGTTGTGGGAGTACTGTCATGTGTACTTGAGAACTAAGGGAACAAATAACCAAGGGGGCATTCAATTAACTTACCTAGAAGTTAGAAGTATGGAAAACTGCACAGAGGCAGTGACTTTAACAGGCATAGTATTTTAATAGAATAACACATTTCATGTGGAGCGTGTTATGGAAAGGCTTGGAGCTATGAATGTGCATGTTATGCTCAAGGGTCTGAAATAGCTTGATATTTCTAGAGGGCGTTAGTCACTTTTTCTTGAAATAGACAGAAAATAAATATTTTAGGGTGTACCAGCCATAAAGATTCTGTAGAAACTACTCAGTTTTTTTTTTCTTTTCTTTTTTATTTATTTTTTGAGATAGTGTCTCACTATGTAGTCCTGGTTATTCCAAAACTTGCTATGTAGACCAGGCAAAACTTGCTATGTGGACCAGGTTGACCTTGAACTCAGAGGGATCTGCCTGCCTCTGCTCCTGAATTCTGAGATTAAAGGCACTTGCCATCACACCTGGTTTCAGTTCTACTTTTGTAGTATGAAATTAGCTATAGATACTGTGTCAGTGAATTAGCTGGCTTTTCTGGTAAAATTTTCTGGTAAAAAAAATTCTGGGGATGTGGCTCAGCTGCTAGAGGCATGCTGGCTCAGCATGCACAAAGCTCTGGGTTTGATCCCCGGCATCACATGTACTGGACCTGGTGGTGGTAAATGCTTATGATCCCAGCACTCTGGAATCAGGATCAGAAATTCAAGATCATATATATATATATATATATATATATATATATATATATATATATAAAATTTGAGGCCAGCTTAGGATACATACTAAAACAAAAACAACCTCAAATGAAAAAATTATATGTAAATAAAGAAATTATAAACTTATTGTAGCTTATTATAGCTGTAATGTCATGACCCCTGGTCTGGCAAGGAGGGAGAGTATGAAGGGATGTCAGTGCCAGTCTATGAAACCAGGGCTTTATCTATTAAATAATGAGGAGCCATGGGATTTTAAGTGGAGGAATTGGTTTAGTTAGATTTGTGTTTCATAAAGGTCATTCTAGTAGTTTTTGTTTTGTTTTGAGACAGGGTCTTATATAGCCCAGGATGACCTTGACTGCTAATCCTGACAACCCAAGTATTGAAATTATATTTGTATACCACCGTGGGGTCCCCTTTTTCCTCATGGTCCATTGGCCACCAGTCCATGAGGACAAAGGGGCAGAAGCAACTGTTGAGAGCCTTGGATGGCCTGTTACCACAGTGGAATAGCTTTCCAGGAGACAGCTTTAGTGTGACAGCTCAACTTTATTTCAGAGTGAGGGGAGATATAGGATTGTGGTGGTAGCTGAGGCAAACCCTCATTTGCATTAGGTGGCACACTTCTATCATATAGCTGGAATAATGGCAGCACAGCCCTATGAAAATAGCTAGAGCATGCTACTTAATTACCATGTGGGCAGCAGGGGAAGAGCGTTTGCAGGGAACTATGTCCAGGGTTATCCTTGAGATAAGTCAGGCATATGGGCTTAGAGACATCTCTAGATAAGGCTAGGTAGAAAGCAGGAAGCCTCCTGGGGAAAGTCCTTCATATTGTGCTGAGCCCAGGGAGAGTTGCTAAGCTGTGGTAGATTGCAACCTCTGATCAACATGTCCTCCCAGCAAATACTGAGATTATATTTGTGCACAACTGTACCTTTCTTCATTATAGTACTTAAACTAGCAGAAGACCTAGATGTATAAAGGTGAGTGAGAAATGACTGTTCTTGATGGACAGTGGTGGCACATGCCTTTAATCCCAGCACTCAGTAGGTAGAGGCTATAGAGAGTTCCAAATCTGAGTTCCAGGACAGCCAAGACACAGAGAAACCCTGTCTCAAAAAACCTAAAAGGGATGGGGCAGGGGTGGGGTGGGGTGGGGTAGAAATGACTATCTACTCCTAATCTTTTAGCAATAGCTGGTGAATGTCACCATGGACAATTATTTCATCCTGTCCTAATACTTGGTGTAAATGGTACCTGGAGGTTTGACAACTAAAATGAAAGTCCTTAAGCTCAATGTGGTGGCACTTTTGTAATTCCAGTACTGAGAATGCTGAAACAGTAGGGCCGCATGTTTATGGCTAGCCTGCACTACATACCAAATCCCTGCATTGAAAAACAAACAACAAACTAGGCATTGTGGTGCATGCCTGTAATCTCAACACTTGAAGGGGGAAGCAAGAGGATCAGGAGTTCAACAGTAACCTCAAAATACAAATAACAAAAACAAAAAAGTGAGTCATTGCTAGATACTTATGGTACAGAGAAGAGCTGAGAAATGTGAGGTTTAAATGGTTTGCAGGAGGAGACTTTAGAGGTGCTGTGTTTGTGAAACATAGCAGACATGCAGTGAGAATCAAGGTTGAGTAATAGAGGAAGGAGGCAGTGGAACTAAGTGGTGCCCTTGGAGAGATGCTCAGATCCCTGCACCTGAAGATGTGCTGCTCTTCTGGCTTTAAGTGAGTCCTGTCCCTGAGGGAGCTAGCTGGACCTGTGCCAAGGAATCTGGAGCTGTGTTTTCCTTCTTCTCTGCTACCACCCACAGGACTTCACTACTGCCTGGGATCAGCTTTGTGCTACCTCATGGAAGAGCACTTTCCTGAGCTCATAGAGCTAAATATACCTAGTGACAGCTGGTGCTTTGGCACTTAGGCGAACTACTGAGCTGTCATTCTAGCCAATGCTACATTCCCCATGGTAAGACAAAACTTTTAGGGCACCTCCTTGGACCATCTTGAGAGAGGACTTGAAACAGTAAATCCTTGTTTTGAGAGCCAAAAAGTAACCTGATTTTTTGTTACTGCTTTTAAACATTATTCTAATTAAGACCAGCTATTTACTGGGTATATGACAATATTTAGAGTAAATATGGTTAATGCTTATCTAAAATATAGTGGCTATGTTATGTATACCTGCCTAGCCCAGAACTGGAACTCAGTATGTACACAAAGCTGGTCTCAAACTTTGCAGTAATCTTACTGCCTTTGCCTCTTTGCATACTAGGATTGCAAGCATACACTACAATATTAATAATGGGATTAAAGTTGTGTGCCACCATGCCTGGCCAAAGGTAAGGTGAATGTTTACTCCTGACTTCTGTAAACACATGTGCCCATATGTTGTGTGATATTTTGTTTGTGTTCTGACAAATAAAGCTTGCCTGGAAATCAGAGGGCAGAGCTGGTCACTAGTTAATCATAGAAACCAGGGGTGGTGGCTCACACCTTTAATCCCAGCACTCAGGAGGTAGAGAGAGGAAGTGATAAGGCAGGCCAGAGACAGGATCTGAACCCTTTTAGGTCAGAGAATTTAGAGCAATAAGAAGTCTCTGGTGGCTACTACTCTCTCAATCTTTCAGCTTTTACACCAATATCTGACTCCGGGTTTTTATTGATTAAGAATAATTACCCATATGTGCATGTGTACACATGGATACAAAAACATACTAAACATTTTTTTAAAATGTTAACTCTTCTTTGTTCCCTTTTACAGCTTGTTGAATTCACTGTCAATTTTTTTCTATAATTAAAAAAGAAAAGCAGTACAAGGAAAGAATTCTAGCCTATCTATTTTTTTCATATGAAACATATAACAAAGCAAAAAACGTTCTCTTTGGCAATGGAGACATTCACATAATGACATAAAGCCTACATGTAGAAATGTATAGATAAAAGCCTACATGTAGAAATGTATAGATAAAAGGGTTTACTGCATGACTCCATGACAAGATTTCCTTCCTTCCTTCCTTCCTTCTTTTCTTTTTCCTTTTTTATCTTTAAATTTTATTTTATTTTTAGGGGAGAGAAATGGATGAGATCAGGAGGTATGATGTGAAAGACAAAGCTAAAAAGAAAGTTTAAAAAAAGATACATGAGTGGGGTTTGTAAGTAATGCTTTGGGAATGTGTGTAGCTGGAGACAGATGACTTACGTGGAGATCTTGGTGGGCTGGTTCACAAGTGTCTTCTGGGACTTATATGCTTTTCCCTTGCAGTTCCTGAGGGAAGACCTCAATTATCATGACCCAACAGTGAAGCACAGCACCTTCCACGGTGAGGATAAACTTATCAGCGTAGAGGACCTGTGGAAGGCATGGAAGTCATCAGAAGGTAATGAGCACCCTTGTCTGTCCTTTTTGTCAGAGGTTTACAGAAGAGAGGAGATGAGTAGATACCTGACCTTAAAAGGACATGAGCAAAAATGCTTAACAAGATGTGAATTACTGAAATAATTCTATATACAGTAATGTAATAAGACTGAATTACGGTCATTATGCTGGGAAAGGGATTTGAAGTTGTGTTTCATCAGGATGTCTTGAATTCCAGCCTAACTCAACTTCTGTCCTCACACTATCCCCCATAGACATCTACTAGCTTCTTATCATCTCCAGATAAGGAGCTTGCTCTTCTCCAGGAGCCCTATTCTGTACTCCCTGCTCACTACCTTCTCTTCGGAGTCCAGATGATTCAAAGGTTGAGTGTCAGTAAAGATGGGGTCCATTCCTGAGCCACCCCCCCAAAAAAACTTACATAGTTCTTCATCTTTGAATAAAACAGTTTTCAGTTTCTTTCTGATCTAGATTTCAATTTTGTAAATATTTTTATATTATCTTTGCTAGATCCTTGAATTGGACACAAATTCCCAAATGTGGCTTGATTTGTACAGAGCTGAATTGCATTGCCAACTTCTGAGCTCTGAACCCTGGACATGTACTAGAACTGCCTAACTAAGTACTAGTGCCTTCAGTGGTCACATTACTGACTCGTGTTGAATTTATCAGTGAAAACTTTAGATCTTTTTAATAACAAAGCTCCTAAATCATGACTACCTTGTTTTTTTCCCCTTGGAGCATTTTATTCAGAATTCTAAGTGAAAAAGTATGTTTACTACTGTGAAATTCGACAGGGAAGAAAATAACAGGTCTTTAGCTCCCTCACCATTTATCTCTGTGGCTAGTGTCCTTGGATCACAACAAGATTGGAAGCAGCAACTTGGCATGTAGTTCAGTTGGAGATGATTTGCTTCACATGTATAAAGCCCCAGATTTGCTTCCCAACACTGAATAAACCAGCTTGTGTCAAGTTGACAAAGAGAGAGAAAGAAAGAGAGAGAGAGGTACAAGTGTTAAGAAAGATTAATCTTGGTTGGGCTGGAGAGATGGCTCATCAGTTAAGAGCACTGGCTGCTTTTTCAGAGGTCCCGAGTTCAATTCCCAGCACCCACATGGTAGCTCACAACTATGTATAATGTACATACAGATGGAGCATTCATGCACATAAAATAAATAATCTTTAAAAAAGGAAAGGTTGACCCAGGGTTCAGAATTTTGAGACTGTCTCACAGTGTTGCTTGCCCATGAAGGCCTCAGACTCTTGAATCCTCCTTTCTTAGCCTCTCAAGCAGCTGGGATAATAGGCACCTGCCACCGTTTGTAATTTTCCTGGATTTTAGATGAGGAAATTTAGGACTAGGCTTATAAAATTGTGTGTTCACTGTCATGCTTTTAGGAGAGTCAGGACTAGATGTAGATTTTCTGATCCTTGTAGACCAATGCATTTACTTGCCACCTGATGGCAGAAAATACTACTTTTAGTAGAATGAGGTCATTTTTAATTAAAATTCTTACCTAGAACTGTAGCATTTTAGAGATGAGAAGGAACACACACACACACACACACACACACACACACACACACACACACATATGACAGCATTAGATTTGTTAGCTTTGTATCAGGAAATGGAGTCTACTCCTAATTCTGTGATGGGGTGAAAAGGGTGTTGCTGCTGCTACTTAACTGTTTTATCAGTTTAGAAGAAATGTGTAGGAGCAAGCCTCCTGGAAATCTTTAGAAACTAAGCCCTCTGCCCCCCAGGGTCATGTGTCTTTATAGCTCCTGAGCAACTCAGGCTGTCTACTGGTGGGCTTTGAGGCAATGACATGAGCCAGGAAAATCTTCCATTAGTTCTGTTTAGTTTTGATTTTCTTCTCTAATAACATGATGATAAGGAGCCTAGTTTTTAAGAGTAGATTTTATAAGTACGAACTCAGAATGCAAGAGGCAAGGAACACATTCTTGGCCTTTTCTACAGGCTCAAAGAAAAGTAACTGAGAAAGGAAGTGACCTAGGGAAGGCAGAAATAGAGGCTTGAATCACAATACTAGAAAACAGCTCCACAGTTTTCTGGTAAGAACTTTATTTCTGGACTTAGCAACTATTTGGAACACTTCCAGTGTATTTCAAATTACAGGAACATGGAAGACAATGAAGTAAGTTTTTTAGAAGGGGCTGGGACTCATTTACCCTTAGTAGGAAAACATTCTAAGGTACAGCAGATCCCTCACTGCTGAGAGGTCATTTACATGTGCCTTTTAAGGACTGGTTTACCAAGTGGTTTGATAGACTAAAAACCTTCTTGTGTCTAATAATTTGCTTCATTATTCAGAAAAAGACCCCTATTTTTTTTCTAGAGGGACAGTTTCCAGAGCTACAAAAAACATGTAGTGTTCTGGCACTTGTTCAAATTGGCTGGCCTGAGCGTAGCTAACTGGTGTAGATATCAGCTTTAGTCATTTATGTTGAAAAAATTAGCAGGCTAATGTCATTCCTTTTTGTATGATTATTGTTGTTAACATTCTCTGACTAATGTTGGATACCAGTGTTTGTTTTTCTCTTCTCTTTTTCCTGTGTTATTTAGATCTTAGCAAAGTTTGCTAATCTTACGTTAACCAGCTCTAGTTTTAATAATAAAGGCAATAGCAACCCAGAAACTAATAATACTTTTATAGTACTTCATCCATGCTAAGCACTATTCTAAGTATTTTTTTTTATGTTCATTCATTTCTCACAATAACCGTATGATGTATAGTTACTATGGTTATGTGTTATCTCTATTTTCAGATGTGGAAAATGAGGCAAAGAGATTAAGTGGAGTAATGTAATATAATTTTTTCACTAGCTACCTGGAATTACTTCAGATATCACAAATCTGATCATGGATCCTATCAAGTCTGCTCTCACTTCTGGCTGACACAGTTACAAAGCTGGGGAATTCCTAGGCCATTTGCACTTACTTTATTGCTGCTTCTGCAACTTCTTCCTTTTCCCTTTGTATTAGTTGTTGCCACATTTGGAGAGAAAAAATTCATTTATTCCCTCCTTCCTTTCCTTTCTTTAGTCTGTACCTCAAGTGGCCAAGGCTGACTTTGAACATTTACTCCGCCTGCTTTTCTGTCTTCCAAATCCTGGATTACAATCATGTTGCACCTGGAGCTTGCACCCACCCCCCCACAACCATGCTGTTTTTCAAGTGCTGGAGCTCAAATCCAGGCCCTCACACATGCCAAGCTTGTTACTTACGAAACCCCTAGATAATTTTTATCTCTGATAATTGTACCAAAATTGTCAGTTATGTTGTGATCTAATATTTAACATAGTCATTTTGTGTTTTATTTTAAATATACACTGGAAGATAAACAGTCTTACTCCCATCCCCATTTGATAGGGAAACTGTACATCCCTCTCTGCCACTAAGCCTAAGATTCTTCTTCTTATGTACATCTCCTGTGCTGCTGCCATAGCTTGATCTTAGCAGCTTTTTCATGTGAGTTACTGAGGTGTAAAATTGATGTAAACTGTAAATACTTCAAAGTTTATTGCATTGTATGTTTAGGCATATACTTACAGTTGTGAGGCCACTGCACAGTAAAGGTTGACTATGTTCATCACTTCATATCCTCTTTAATCTCTCCTTCTCCTAGATCACTACTGAACTACCTTCTTCCAAGTTTAGTTCACATTTTTCTTGAGTTCTATTTAAATAGAATTATATAATATGTACCCTTTAGTCTCTTGCATTTGACATAATTACTTTGGGATTCATATTTTACCTGTATAAATAGCTCATCATTTTTAGTCCTGAATATTAGCACATTGAAGAGATGTGCTTCCAATTGTTTTTATCCATTTATCTCTTGTTAAGACATTTGAGCTATGTATAGTTTCTGTTTATTACCAATAAAGCTGCAGTGACCATTTAAATGAGTCATATGCATTTTCTTTGTCTTAGGAAAATACCTAGGAATGACTAGATAATATGGTAGGTATCAAGAAATTATCTGTTTTCTAGAGTAGCTGTGCTATTGCATATCCCTATTAGCAGTGTATAAGACTTCTCAGCTCTCACATCTCTTTGCTATTATTTATTGTAATCAGACTGTTAAATTTGAGCATAGTGTAGTGGTATCTTATTTGATCCTAGTTCATAGTTTGCAGTTTGATTAATAATTAATGACCCTGGCATCTTTTCATGGACATAAATTGCCATTTGTATATCTTATCTTTTTTGGTAGACTGTCTTTTAAATCTTAGGCTTTTTTTTTTTTTCCCAGATAGCATCTTATATAGTTCAGGCTTGCCTTAAACTGCCATATGGGCCTTGAACTCCTGATCCTTCTAGCTCTACCTTCTGAGTAAATGCTGTGATTGCAGCAATAAATCACCATGCCCTGTGACTATGAAATAATTCCCTTTTTCTCCCTAGCTTTTTAACAAGAAGGCTGAAATCATTGATTTGAGCCCTATTTTCCTTTGTTCTTTTTTTCACATATGCATGATGTGAATGCATACGTGAATGCATGCTTGCATGCATATGAGTACATATATGTGAGCATTTACACAAGTATGTAGAGGCCTGAGGTTGACATTGTGAGTGTTCCTCAGTCAGTCTCCAGCCTGTTCATTGAGGCAGTGTCTTAACAATGGCTCAGAATTCACTATGTAGTACAGACTGGCCACAGAAATTTGTAGCAGTTGTTTGGTCTCTGCTTTTTGAGTTGGGATTACAGGTGTTACCTGACCATGAACTTGCCAGGGCTCTCAAACTCATGACTCTCCTGCCTCTATTTCCCCAGAGCTTACATTATAGTTGCACACCATTAGATCCAATTGAAACCTTTACGGTTTTATAAATATTTTAACTTTTTATGTCCTAATATATAGTCTGTTTTGTGTTCACAAGCTCATTGGCACCAATATTCTACTGGATAGTTGATAAATGCCAACCAAGTCATTAGTTGATGATATTAAGTCTACTTAACCTGTTGATT